GGGGGAGAGGAGGCTGGCAACGCTGCGGCGCCAGCTCTTTCTGCACCCGAGCTGGCAGGCGACCTTCAAATGGTGGAAAACTGGATTTGTGGTTGCCTGCCAGCTTTGGTGGAGAAAAAAGCTGGTACTACGCCAATGCTAGCCCCCCTAACACGCCCCATCATCCGCTGCCTGTAGGCTGTATCGAAAACCTGTTTTTTGTTCTATATTTGTGTTAAAAATGACAACTATGTTGAAAAAGTTCCAGAACCCTTGAAATACTTTCAAATTCAGCTGGAATTCCACAGAACTCGGCACTGAGTAGCAGAATTCCATACAAATTTCTCTATGAAAGGTTTTTTTTCACAAGTTCATAAGAATTTTTTAGGTACGCCCTTGGTGGCGGATGTGAACTGGCCATGATGTGTGACATTATCTACGCTGGTGACAAAGCACAGTTTGGACAACCTGAAGTCAACATTGGCACCATTCCTGGTTGGTTCGAGAGGATTTTTGTGGTTTCCACTGGAATGTTTCTCTTGATGCATTCACTTGATTTTCTACTTTTATTTTTCAGCTTTATTTAATTTCTTTATTCTGACTATACTATTTATTCAATGGCAACATAAAGAGAGGCTGCAGTCTTTTGATTTTCTTTTTTTCCAGCTTTTTTATTTTTTCTCACAGTTTCTCACACACAAAAATCGTTAACTAGGCAGTGGCAAATCTCAGGAAACGTTGGGCGTTTTCCGAGCCTCAGATATAGTGCCTAGGTACACTCTTTATCCATCCTAATGACACTCGACGAATGAAACTGAACTTTATGAAGCCTAGTGATGCTAGAGAGGAGTAGAAATGTTTGATACCGCTGTCACGAGCGACACTGAGTCCGCACTTACGACCTCTCTCACACCCATATCCCAGATATGGGTGTAAAAAGTGAGAGTATAAAATAATACGTTTGTCCCTGTCTGCTATTCAGGAGCTTTCGAGCAAGTTGAGGTATACTCACCAACCCCTGAAAATTCCGGTTCTCACTTATGTTTACCTAATAAAAACCGGTGGAATTGTGAGAGTTATTCTGTTAAGGAGCTGGTGGAACCCAACGTTGGGCTCGTGTCGCCGGTAAATCCATGGCAATGGAAGTCTGTCTGACA